GAATAGAGAATAGCTAAAGTAAATGGAAGAAATACTGAAGTAAAACAACTAAACAGAAGATTTCAAGGCACAACTCAAGAAGACAAAGTAAAGTAAAATAACAAAATACGCAAAGACAAGGAATTAGAAAACCAAAAGTGAAGAGTATACTCAGCATTTCTGAAGCTGAAAAAACTGAAAAAAAAAAAAAAAAACTCAAGCCTTGAATTGTGATACAGAAGGATTCTATGTGCAAAATATTGAGTGATACAGGAAGCATCAAAAGAAGATGGAAGTAACACACAGAGTCACTGTACCAAATGTTCATCCATTTCAAGAGCTGGCATATGATCAAGAACCCATGGAAGAAATCAAAGCTGCACTGAAGGAACTGGCAAAAACAAGGATCCAGGAATTGATGAAATATCCCTTGAGAGGTTTCAACAGATGGATGTCGTGCTGGAGGTACTCATCTATGCCAAGAAATTTGGAAGACAGATACCTGGCCAATTGATTGGAAAGACCCATTTGAAAGAAAGTTGATCCAACAGAATCTAAAAATTATCAAACAATACCATTAATAGCACATGCAAGTAAAATCTTGTTGAAGATAATTCAAAAAAGGTTATAGCAGTATAGTGACAGGGGAACTACCATAAGTGTAAGCAGGATTCAGAGGAGGATGTGAAACAAGGGATATCATTGCTGATGTCAGATGGATCTTGACTGAAAGCAAAGGATACCAGAAAGGTGTTTACTTGTGTTTTATTGACTATGCAAAAGCATTTGACTGTGTGGATCATAACAAATTTTGGGTAATATTGAGAAGAATGGGAATTCTGGAACACTTGATTATGCTAATCAGGAACCTGTACCTAGAATAGGAGGCTGTCATTCAAATTGAACAATGGGATACTGCATGGCATAAAATCAGGAAGGGTTGTATCCTTTCACCTACATATTCAGTCTGTATGTTGAGCAAAAAATACAAGAAGCTGGACTATATGAAAAAGAACATGACATCAGGATTGGAAGAAGACTCATTAACCACCTGACATTAACCACCTGACATGCAGATATACAACCTTGCTTGCTGAAAGTGAAGATGATTTGAAGCACTTACTGACGAAGATTAAAGACCATAGTCTTCAAACTATATATAACTGTATTTCTTTCAAAGTAAAGAAAACAAAAATCCTAGATGGGATATATGTATGTATGTGTGTGTACATATATATATATATAAATTGTGTGTGTGTGTGTGTATA